AGATTATTTCATGACAAAGAAAAAAGCAAGGAAGCCCTCATAGAAATTGTTTATGTTAGGGTGGCACACTGGGTCAAGTCTTTGAAGCTTTTTGAAGCCTATTCAGTAGGAGACATCATTAGAAACTGGGAAGAAGTGGCTCGGTCAGCACCTATGTCTACTGCTATTAGACCTGTTTGGACTCCACCAGATTTAGGTTCATCAAATTGAACTTCAATGGTAGCAGTGAAGGTAATCCAGGCCCTTCAGGCATAGGTGGTATTTTCAAGGATGAAGAAGGTCGAATTATTGCTATGTTCTCAGGATCTATAGGCTGGGGAATTCTCGGAGAGTTGAAATCTGGGCAGTTTCTAGAAGGAGTAAAAAGAGCTAACCAGTTGAATATTAGTAAGTTGCTGGTGGAAGGAAACTCTCAATTGACTGTTAGTTGGTTGTAGAAGGAAGAGTCTAGCCTGTGGAAGTTCTCAAATGAAAGAAAGAAAATCAAGCAGCTAACTCAGAATATGATTGTAAGGGTTCAATGGGCCAAGAGGAGCAYTAATTCCATGGYTGACACCYTGGCTAAACAGGGGGTGGGAAGATCTAATTTCTTTTGGGCTATATTGTAATAGGTGTTTTCAGTTCTATAAGTGAGGGTTAAGATTTCTTACCCCTCCAATCTGGTTGTAATTTCCATATATTTTTAATAAAACTACTGTTATTGATCAAAAAAAAGATATATCATTAATAATAAAGCAACTGAACAAAGGGTTTTGTGATGCAATTCTAGGTTTGCGAACGATAACTTTTTATTTCTGAGAAGAATAAAAATACACAAAAGACTCAGATAAGGTCTTGGTTTGTTTCTCATTCCATAAAATGAAGGCATTTTTTAAGATAAAATAAAAAATTATTAAAATTAAGAAGAGAAAAGAAATGATACAAGAGACCCGGACAAAGAAAAGGTATTGCAAACAAAAAAACCCACTCAAAAAACCAAGGGCCTGAAAACAAAACAAGCCCACCCAGCAAAACCAACCCAACCTAGATACCACCAAACCCCCAACATTGGACTCCTTGCCAAGAAAGCAACAAAAAGGACAGCTAAAGAGACACAAAATAACCACCCATAACCACTTTACATTGCCTTTTCCACCTCTCTGACCCCCCCACACACACCTCTACCCCTAACACTCTTCGATCCTCTCTCACTTCCCTTTGTCAACACATCCATGTAAACATCCACCAACTATCTCAGCTTCCTATAGCCCGGAGTTCCTCTCACTCTATACGCATTCATCTCTTCCTCAACTTCCAGCTTGTACTTCACTGTCCAACATGACCCATTCCCCTCTAACCCATACAAAGATGTCTCGGGAGATCTTTGAAGAGTGGAATCTTTCTCTAGTGAGCAAAACAGCTCTCTAGCATTTTCTTCTCTTCCTAAGAAAAACAAACCTGCTGTCTTAGATAAAAGAAGTTGTGCTCAACCCTTTGCTCCAAAAGAACCACTTCTGTTATGTGCCTTAGGAGAACTCATCCCTAAAAGCTAGCTGTTAGAGGGAGGGAACCCAAGCACATACATACCCCACAACAGTATCCCATACTACCGATGTGGGATACCTCACATTAGCATCCCATACTACCAACATGGGACAAATGGATCATAACAACTTCACATTGTTGTTCTACAAAATGAAGGCATATATGGACAGTTTTTTTAACTGGATGTCCATATAGTTGGTAAGAATGCAGATAAAGTTTCATCTAGGAATCTAGGCATGGGTCCTAATATTTTGTAATTTTGTCATGTGATAAATAAAATCCACACTTTATCTTACTCAGGAGGGGGGAAGTCATCTAGGCATCAACTAGGAGACCACTCTAGTGCTTTGGAGGTCTATTGCCTCAGCAATCAACTAGGTGTGCAGCATAGATATAAATATCATAGTCGGGCCAATAAGTAATTAATAATTATATCCCCTCTTTTATTGTTATGAGTGTGTGTATTCCATTATGGATCAACAAAAGTGATGTAGAGCTGAAAACTAGGGCTCTTTTAATCTGATGCTTATGTCTACAAGTCTATTTTACTTTGAATTAGGATGATCATTCAAAAATCTTGTCAGTTCTTATCTGAAAATCGGGCTGAATATTCCATTTAATTATTTTCTGATTTAATTTATAGTGTAATAATTTATGGTTACCATATGGTTACATATTATTTTATATAGCTCTCTATCTCTGTGCCAACTAGGCAACAAACATCAACTTATCTTGCCAGGCCAAAAACCTAGGTGTCACCTGGTTGACTTAACCATATTGCTTCACATGCACAGAACTTTCAGCAATGGTGAGGAGCTATTTTCTAAAAGAAACCAAAATTATGAAAAGAAATCCCATATATCAGATGCCAAATGTGTGATATAACCTACCTTAATCGCAACCTTTTCAAGAGTGTTACGGAATAAATCATTTCCGCTAGAGATTGCTTGCCGAGCAACAGCTGGTGTCTCATCTTTCAGCAAAGCCAACAAAACAGGAATGATTTCGGGTAAGAAATCAAYGTGCTCCATCCCGATTTCACCAAGCATCCTACACAAATAAAAGATAAAATTACAGAAGAACTTAGTATGCAAACAACAGGTTGAAAGTAAGAGAAGAACAAAAGGTAAAATAGCAACAACGAAAAGTATCATCATGAGCATGAGCAGTTTAAAGGTGGAAAACAGCATATATAACATATAATAAAAAATTGCTCTCAATACAAAAGCAACTCTCGGTACTGAAAGCATTGGAACTAAGGTTAGAAATAAATAAGAAAGCAAAAGATATAAGCAATAGTTATCTTCGTTCATCAAAAAAAAAAAAAAAGATACAAGCAATAGGGGGAATAAAGTTGTTTTGCATATTTCCTGTCACGATGAATGTCTGGAATTGTATGCTATATCGTTCGTGTTGATTTCAAATTCTTGTACAAGCAGTTTTCGTCCGGGCGGCAGATTGGATGAAAGAATTGGATCCGACACGGCGAAGGAAGTGGGAAAATGTCTCCTAGTTAAATCAGCTTAATTGAAACGATAGTAAAGAGTAATAGACTAATAGTTGTGAATAATAATTAGAGCGTAGATGTACATAGTGGAACGCATATTCATCAATCAATTGCCATAGTGGCCAACAACAAACAGCACAAGCATTCAGCCTCTCTTCTTGCTACAAGATATCATTTAGTGGTACAAAAGACAGTTAAAGTGATTCTAAAGAGAATGGCACATACTCCGCAAGAAACTTGCGAACGGGGCTGAACCGGTCCGTTTGCAATTCGACGAGAAAAGGCACGAACTCTGTCAGCAAAGAAGGATCTCTCTGCAACAAAACCTCCTTTAATTGGCGCAGGTTTTCGATCTTCGAAGGTATGTCCATGGAGAACTTGACCGAACTAAGGAGACTCGCGGCCTTCTCTCTGGAACCCATCGCCCTCATCCCCACCATCTCATAAACCCTAATTCTTTAAGTTACCACGTTAATACCAGTTAGCAGCTACTGACATCGAGTCCTTCTGGTGCGTCGCAGAGCAACCGGAAATGAGGGGAGGAAGGAAGACAGATTGATACATACAAAATGGTGAGAGGGTTGAATCGCGGGAATGTTTCCAGTTTTAGATGGATGTTCGAACTTCGAACTTGAGAGTTGAGAGTACCCGAGCGCCAACCCTTTCTGCTAACGCAACCCACGAAATAGCGGCATAACCGCTTAAGTTAAGAGATGATTACTCATTTACTTGCCAGTTTTCCTTTGTATTCACGTGGGCCGGACTGTGGGTGGCCCATAATGGAAATCTGGCACTAGTCCATTTAAGTCCAGGCTTGGCTTACAATAGTGGAATTTGACAATCATTCTCGATGCAAGGCTCGTGACCGTGTATGGGAACATCTCCTAATGACAAATATAAAAGATGTTTTTAATGCACTCTGACTTGTGCATATGAGGCGTTTTTTAGGCGCATTCTGTGGGAGTGTGGGGGCAGATGAGGGTTTTGAAAATTCTAATGTCCATTTGGTTCGTGGGAATAATCACTTGGAATCAGAATAAAAATGACCAATCCTCCATACGCGGGAATGGTCATTCCCAACCCCATGGGAATGTTATTCCCATTCCAACCTCTGTATTTTGTATTTTGTTGTTTTTTTTTCACTATTCTCCCTTCTTCCACCCCCTCCCACTTCTCTCCCTCTTCTTCCTCCCCTCAATTATAGGCAACTCCGATTCTGATTCATAGACCTTCCTTGCCTGAGCCTCTCCAATCCTCTCGACTCATACATTCCCAAAACCTGCAATTGGTGGGATTCAAAACTCAAACCCTCTTTGACCCGTTTGAGGATGGAACCAATCAAGTCTATAACCTGCATCTAATAATTCCTTATTGTATGTAAGCAATAAGTGACCAAAACAACACGAAAAAACATCACAATTTCCAATTGTTTGATTTCAACATGCATGTAAAAAATACATAAATTATGAATTATCCTTTACATAAGAATTCTTTTGATAAGCAAATGCACTTTATTAATGATATTAAACCTAGAAAAAAAAGCAAACCATAAAGAAACCAAGATGAATAAGCTGCTTCATAGGTGGAAAACAGAAAATCCCTTAAACAAGGATGATTTGCTTTTAGAGCAAACGAAGGGATGCCGGTGATCTCATGCCTTGTAAGCATTATGGATATTTTAGAAAATTCAATGCATTGTTGGGTTTAGCTGAATACCGACCGTACCCAGAAAAACTTTGGCATAGAGTGGGGTAAGATAGTAATTAGACCATATTTCTTTTTAACCATAAGCATAGACATGGGCATGAATTGGTGAACGTGTCTAGTTGGGTGATCATTTCAGTCCGGTCTGAAAAATCCGAGCTTGGGCCTATGTTTTTTGTTAAGGCCCGGCCCGGGTCTGCATCAAGCCCGCAAAATTTAGGGTCGGGCTTGGGCCTAATTTTTTAAGCTCAGCCCGGCCCGAATATTTATAAATAATATATATAAGTTATATAAATAATATATATCTTTATGTATATAAGTTATTTAAAAATATTTGATAATTGATGTTTTATATATTAAATAGAGATTTGTAGGAGATTAAAGATTTTAATCCTACGGTCTTAGATCTTACCAAATTTTAATTTAGTATTTAATGAAATATACAAATTACTAAACCCTAATCTTCTTGGCTCTCTCTCACCAATTTCACAAACCACTGTGATGTCCAATCTCTCTCTCTCACCAAAAGACAAATCTTCTAGTCATGAAGATTCCATTGATGAAGATAAATCTGAAGTTTATAGTGGTTGCAAGTTTTGGGTAAAATTGAAACCATTCTCAATATTTTATTACTTATTTATTTACATTAATTTGATTTTTTTTTCTTAGTTTGCTAATTTCTTTTTTATTTCACTTTTTATTTGTAGGAGTTTAGTGGAAGATGGAACCCCTTATAGAGATGTTTAAAGTTGTTTTGTGGATATTACATGACAATGAATGATTATTTTTTTATATATATTATATGTTCTAGGTTGAGTTTCTGTTGATAGAAGAATTGGTTTGCTAAATTTATCATTTTTAGCATGCTACCAATTGAAACTTATAAATTACAATCTATAATTATTTAATTTATTGTAAGTTAAAAGCTTTTATCTTGATATTATGTTTAAAGTTTCTTACAGATTACTATAGTCTCCACGACAATAAATGAAAAGCAAATGTATAATTGTTTAATTTTGGAATTGAAATACAATAATTAGGCCCGAAATCTTGGCCTGGCCCGGCCCATGCCCATGTAGGGTCGGGCCCGGGCTTATATTTTTAGGCCCATAATGTGGGTCGGGCCGGGCCTAGGCCTAGCCTAAGCCCGTTGTTACCGGCCCATGATCACCCCTAATGTCTAGCCTAAAAATGCTCTCAACAGCATAAGTTGTTGGCCCCCATGGCCAAAGTTAACTCTACCATACCCTACTATACCCATGCAAGTTGTGAAATCCAAAAACCTGTCATTGCCCTAAAATCTCTTTTTTCAAGCAACTTAAAGAGTATCCTATTAAGTAACTTATCTATTAGGTAAGGTGGAAATTGCAAATGTTTTTTTAAACTGATTGTTGAAGTGGTTACATCATATAACTTGTCAAGAAAAACAATAGGGATATTATCTAAAACTCACCATGACTTTTCAAAACCTCCGAAGAGCCTCATGCCAATATTTACCGTTAAAAATAATAGTTTTATTAAATTTCTCATATTATTCCTCCATATTTTCCCTTCCTATTTTCCTTCTCTCCCTCTGTCTTCTATACTATAACAAATATTCAGGTTGTTTTTTTTTTGGATTGCTGGTTGTTAGTTGACATTCTCCCATCCAACCAATGGGAGATGTTTGGGGAGATTCAAGGCATTTTACATGATACTTGGGAGATAGCCAAAAATTTACTGTTGTTCTCTTAAATACACTGGTAAGCATGCACATGCTTTACACATGGCAATCCTATATGCTGATAATTATACATGTGCCTTTTTTTGACAAAATTTATATATTTTTCATTTTTTGTATTTCTATRTTTTATTAATTTTTATTATTTTTATGTCATTAAATGTCAACACATTTGACCAAAAAGTTGAACTATTGATCTTTGCCAATTAGTGAAATAATTTCATTTCTTTTAGATTTAAATTATGTATTTTATTTTCATTATCAATAAAAATAATTATCATTAGTTATATTTTTTAAATTTGATTAATAAAAATATCATAAATGTGTCTAATTTTTCTACATTGGTTGATCAATTTGATTCGGATGATTGAATTGCTTAGCCACCACTTGGATAAATAATAATTTTGTTTTTTAGTTAGTTTTAAAATATATGGGTTTATATTGTTAAAAATATTGGCATAGATCTAATTAGTAGCATTTATTAGTGAAAAACAACTTAAAAATATGATTTAATAAGAGAAAATGATAGTTAATGCCTTAAGTATAAGACTTAATGAAAGGGGATTAAATGACGTGGAAAGTAATAATCGAAGTTACATTTTCAACCCTCACAATTAGATATGTAATAAATAGACAAATACTAGCATTTTAGTTAGGGATGAGCAAAACAAACTGAAAAGCCGACCAAAACTGAACCAAAAAATCAGTTAATCAAACCGGTTGGTTCGATTTTGGTTCAATATTCTTAGAAAACCGATAATTCCGATTTGATTTTGATTAACCTAAAAAAAATGGCGGTTAACCGTACCGTTCGGTATATATACACTAATATTATATATATTATACTTTTTAAAATCAAATACCCCTTTTCTTCTCTATTTGATTGTTGTGCTAATAAGTAGATTCCAATCTGACAATTAAAATTTTCTTCCTCACGTGACAGCGTTTGTCCCTTCATCTTTGGCTCTTTGCCCCAAAATTGTTACTTTACAAAAGCCTCTCACTTCTAACTTCCCCTTTCAAAAAAACAATAGAAAAAACAAAAAACCCTAAAAAATTTGCATCTCTGACTATTTGAGGTTGCTTTGTGACTGTCCTTCTCAGCTCCCGAAGAAAATCCAGAGCAGTGTAGTTGCTCTCTCTCCTTCCACTCCATTTCTCAAAGCCAAAAAACATTTGAATCGGAACCCTACCACTAGATTCACTCCTCTTGTGCTCTCTTCTTCTTCTTCTTCTTCAAGATCACTCGATCTCGCCTCTGGCCATGGAGCTTCTTCCTGCTCTAGATCTTCACAGCTATGTTATTTGTTGCGTTTCATAAATTGGATTTACTCCATCTCTCGTTTCTGATCGAGCTACCAAGGATATTAGCGTTAAGGCAACCTCGGTTCCTGAGAGCGCGAAATCCAACAGTATGATCCAGACTTTACTTCTCGGAACTCTATTCGGCCTATGGTATGTTTTCAATATCTACTTCAACATCTACAACAAGCAGGTGCATATTTTTCTTAATTCATGTCTTCCTTTTTTTTTCTTTTTTATTGCTGTAAATGTTAGCTCAACGTTGTTTATTTCCTTATGAAAGTAATAAACCTAAGGTTTTTTTATTTTGTTTTAGTTCATTCTTTTATCTATTTCGACTTTTGTACCATATCGCAAATTTCTTTATGTTTTAATTCACTACTTATCTCATCCAATGTTTTTTATTTTTTCCTTATTCATTTTATTCTGTCATGTCTTACAAAGGTATGTTGTGCTTTATGCGCCTCACACAATCACACTAGCTCGACCAAAACCTAGTTGGGTTAGATCAACCAGTAGAACAAGAAAGTTTCTTCCCTTTTTATTTTATTCTGAGTGCATAAAAAAAAAAGAAAAACCGAACCTCGGTTAGTCAATTGCATCAGTTCGGTTTTGGTTTTGATATTTAAAAAACCGATTATATTGGTTTGGTTAAAAAAAACCCACGGTTTGGTTAATTGAACCACACCCCTAATTTTAGTAGCCATTAAACTGACATTAAAGTTGTAATCAAATGACTTTTATACCCATTCTCAAACAAAAAAAGTTAAGGATAATTTTAGTCCCACAAATAGCTTCCACTTTGCATCTGCACTTTTATATATGGTATAGATAAACAAATTGTTAAATAATATAAAACAATAGGATTGCAAAACTGGTACAGCTTCACACTCAATAGATAAATAATGGTACAACTTCAACAATTACTAAAAAATAATAAAACTATGTTTTATTTTTGAATAAACAATAATGTTGTAAAAT